GCCTCAGCATGGCCGGAGAAGCGGTGCGTCAGTGCATGCCCGGGATCCGAACCCGGGCCGCCAGCAGCAGAGCGCGCGCACTTAACCGCTAAGCCACAGGGCCGGCCCCTGCTTAAGATATTCTAATGAAACACTGAGAAGCCATTCTGCAGTGTCTAATGAAAATCAGACCCGTGACTTCATAGTTACTGTGCATAAGCTTCTCTCACTAGTTCTCAAAGTGTGCGTGCGTGTGTGTGTGTGTGTGTGTGTGTGTGTGTGTGTATTACCCATTCCAACAGAATCTAGAGCTAAAACGGTCCTTATTTCTTTACAGTTCTAGGCTTCTAGTTGACAGTATGTTTTATTCTATAAAGATTTTTCTTTCAATGAATAATTCAGACTCAAACTGCATATTGGTAACTATATTTTAAACCAAAAAATTCGTCACATAATAAATACATTTTATGCACATTAACTTCAAATTTACTTCAGAAAGCTATTTACAATATAAATAATTATAAATGGAAACACTTTGCAAGATATCGACATACCTAATATTTTCTACTTTACATTCCAAAGTAAAAGTTCAAATTACAGATTTATACTACGATGTCACTAAAAACTATACACTGCAAGATGGTATTTGAAATATTGGCAATCAGTGTCTTCTTTCACAAAGATAATCCCTTTTATAGCATGTCAGTCAAAAAACAAACATAAAATATTTTTATCTTTGTTGAAGTGCCTACTCATATGTTTCATTTTTTGAAATATTTCCCTTTGGAAAAAAAATGGAAAAAATAGTTACAGTACTTCTAAAAATTTTTCTACGCCAATTTCATTTCTTTTGAAATGTAAACACACCAGGGTTGTTGAGTGTAAATTCAACTATGATTAAATGTGTTCCAGATCAGCAAATTAGGACAAACTCTCTACTGTATAGGTTTATGAAAGCAAAGTTCCATGCAGCAAAACTGCAATAAATAAAACTATAAATGTTTGGTTTAAAATTATTAATTAAGATTTCTTGTGTGAACCATAAGTTTTTAAGGAGCACAGTAGAATAGAATCTCGTTACTTGCTTTATGACTGTATGTATGTGTGTCCATGTGTGTGTATATATATATTTACACACAGACATACATACAGCCTTTCTGCATACAGTCCTAGAGGAAGGAACTCTGAACAAACCCCTATTTGGATATGAGCACAATCTCAATTTTTGAGTTAAGCGCTGCCCAAACAACTCTTGTGCACAAGAAATGAGCACCACACAGAAATTTCCCCCAAGAACATTTTCTATATAATATACCCTTAGCATGTGTCCATAGCTGTTCTGTCGTTCATTTAAAGTTTAGAATGATGATGAATTTTTTATACACAATGCATTTCCCAGTAGGAAGTAGCCAAGAGATTTTGCTGTCTTCCGAGTCAAATTCCTATTCACAAAAACTGACATGTACATGAAAGTTGAATCACTTATTTGGAGACCCATAGGATTTACATTCTTTATTAAGTCATTTGGAAAACAGGATGTAATGTCTATGTCCTGTGACTTGAGTGAACTGGGGAGCCAAATCTGAGCATTCGAACTTTTTAAATCAAAGAGACTATATTAAAGTGTAAGCTATTCCACTGGGCAAGGTAAGTGACCCCAAAATGGCCAAATCCTCAGTTTTCCAAATATCAGCATTCACTCAGTCACTTCCAATCACTATGAGTACTAAGAGAATTGCACTAAATATCTTAGTAACGTCCTGCTCTTGAAACAGAGAGAGAGAGAGAGAGAGCTATAAAATATCATATCTGTATTCAGAATGTCTCTTTAGTTGTAGTGTCTTCTATCAAACTTATTTGGTCTAGGTCTTGGGGGAAAAAAGCCTTGCATTTTATTTTAGAATATCTATGCATATTTTGCAAATGATCTTTTATTGAACGATCCCCATCCCCCACTAAAAAAAGGAAGGAAAATGGAGCATATTATCCTTTTCTAGAAGATCCCATTAAAGCTTATTTTAAGTGGGATTCTCTGCCCAGAGGCAGCATGTGGCAGTAGGGTGTAGAGAGAATTAAGAATAGTACCCAATGGAAATATTCTAGTCCTATAAAATATAATCAAGAAAGAATAAGTGGTTTTTCTGTATAAACACTGAAGGCAAATCATCTATTGCATTCTGTTTCAATTTGAAGGTCAGATCAGCACTGTGTCATATTATCCTATATCAGGCAATTACAGTTTAGAAAAGCCAGCCCATTATATTCAGCATAGTATGTCAAAAGACTTGTGGAGCTGAAGCACACTCACGTGTCTGATCTGTAGTGATTGTGACATTAATATTACGCATCCAAAAATAATACATCAAATCTTTATACTCTCAATAATAGTTTTAACATAACTTCCCTAAGGAAGATTAGGGAAACATTCATTTATTTCTTTGGTCATCCAAATTTTTAAATTAGGTAGAGCAGGCAGGTAAAATGCACAATAAAGATATTCTTACTATTACTAGAAGGCATGAGCTTTGTATCTAATGAATTGCTACATATTGTACTGGTAATTGGATATAGCACATTTTTATGACTCCTCAAGGTGATATAAAAATCATACTTCTCTCTATTTCAATAAAGTATCACGATTCTCAGCATTTAGCAAAGTTATGGAAATCAAGGATTAAAACTAAAGCCAATTGAAGTTTAATTTTAACTGATTAAGTTATTGGGAACATACATATTTTACATCCCGTATTTTAAAAAGACATAGATGACATCTTCATTATGAGGGAATATGTTCCTGCACAGAACAAAATAATATAGATTATAAATACATTTTAACACATCTATGTGTATATTAAAGAGGTACCTTGTCATAAACTGTCTCAACTTATTTTGGGTCGTTTTGTAATAATCATGCCACATTGCAAAAAAAAAAGTAAGTTATATAATACTGTGGGCCTGTAAGGCATTCTATGTAATATAATAAATCCGCTACTATAAAATTATTGACATGTAAATTAAATAAAGGATTATGTATTTAAAACTGGGTCAATCTACCAAAATTTTTAATCAAGATGTAATTTAGTTAATTCTGCCTTCACTTAAAAATATTGGTCATACCATTTTAAAAAGCATTATTCTTTCTGATTTCCCCCTATTTGTAGGGTTCATAATTTATTTCTTTCATTAATAACTATCTTCCATATAAAAATTCCACTGAAATTTCTTTAGTGACAGTTTTTCTTTCATATCAGTTCATTTTTCTTATTCTTAAGATTCTATTTCTTCATAGCATCTGTTCCTAACACTTTCGGTCAAATGTATATCCATCAGTGAAATCCATCTGTATAGATTTCCTTTCCAAAATACAGCATATTCTTCAGATATCTGTGTCTTTGAACTATTTATCCATCTACAGAATTCTGCAAAAACTTTAGCATTCCTAAAACCTTACGTCATGATGCAAATTGATCGAAAATCCATTTTAAATATTTCAGGGGTTTCTCATAAATATTTTTCTCAAAATTTTTTAATTCTTTTGCTTGTATAGTTCAAAGTTTAGTTTTTATTGTTCTTCGAACTTTTTTGAAAGTATATATGATAACTACTAACTTTCTCACTTACCTGAAGTTTTTCTATTTACAGCACAAACGTTGCTGCATGCCCAAGAAACATTTAATTTTATGTAGCCTCTTTTCTCATGTACAAACAACCCAGTATTCATCTCTTAGATTATCATCATTCAGATTGTCACCTACCTATGGGCTGCCAAATAACTGTGTTAAATGAGGAAAATATAGTACTAATCCCTGAGTGTTCAATGTCATGTTCTGTCTTCAAAATTATAAGTTAAGTTCTTCCAATACACTTCCCTCCTTGAATATGGCAAGAGTTTCAGGCGTGAGACTCCTAGGAAATATTATCTATGAACCTTCTCTAATCACTTATGTCACTTTGCTTTGATTACTACAGAATAGTGCATTAAATAATTCTTACTTATTTTTCCTCTCCTTCATCAGTTTGTACCATCTACATTTTCTCTGAAGTAGAAAGTTGACTGTAACTATCCATGTCTAAAAGAGCTCATGCTCATGCACTTGCTTAAGTTCCAAAGCAAGACTTCTGCATGAGTGCAGAAATGCCAGAATGATCAGTCTTGAAAACTCACAGCAGAGAGTTAACTGGTTAACAAGTTCAGTTCTGCTGCACCAATGGACCACAGAACCAGGGGACGTGAGAACTGCCATACAGACAAAGACGCTGGGGCCCAGGCGTGGTGAGTGATACACCTAAATAAGTTACAGGCGGGGCCACAACTGGAACCCAGAGAGCTTGGCATCTAGTCTGCTGGTCTTTCTACTGTATCACATGAACTTCAAACGAAGTTTTTGTCGCTTACAAACAATAAGAAAAATGAACGCTTTGCCTGTTCCTCCAGTCAGAAGACTACTCTGTCCTTTAAATCACTTGTCTATCAACCCAAGCTTTTATCTCAGACTCTCTCCTGAGGCTTTCCACATGTTGTCATATTTGCACATCTGTGCTTTGAAATGTTTTCAAACACGCTGCTGTCATGTAGCACAGTTCGCTGCTTTTCCATAGTTATTTTTTATACTTAGTCTTTTTTCTCTATAAATTGGCTTGAATTTTTTATCTGGTTGGTTTTATAGGCCCCAAATATGCTGATGACATATTCTGAGCCTTAAATTGTTGGTTTTGAGATATCATTTCATTTCCCTCTGCCTCTGGCCTTTCTATCCCCACTAAACTATTTCCAATTGAGCAAACCAGGTTTTTGATGTGTCCCAACGTCTCGGTGCTTTTACTTAGAAAAACCCTTACTGCTCCGTCAGTGTGATCCTGTTCCTTGTCTAACTCCAAAGTAAGGTGAAAAATCACCCCTTCCTGATTGCTTCTAATGGATACCAGGTGAAAACTCATTCTTGTACCATACCCAGAACTATCTCCCTAATTTATGCCTGAACCAAATGAGCTGGCTGATTAAAACCACAAAGAAGAAACCAGTTTACAAAACGTCTCTCTCTCTTTCTTAGTTATTTTGGAAATGGAAATTTCTTTAAGAAACTTAATGTGCTAGGGTTAAGAAAAGTTATGCATCTGGGGTGTATTTATGGTATATAGTCTATATTTCTGCACGTGAAGTGTACACAGCAGTTTGTAGATAGCAGTCTGTGTGTATGAGGTTCACTGGGTCATCACAATGCGATGCTGTCACCCATCAGTCCTTTCAAGTGGTATATATGCTCACTCAATCTACACGAGTATTTTTCAACTCAAAATTTATCCATTCTGGTTCCCGTATAATTAGAGGGGCAATTTGTGTACTCACTCTAGCTCCATTATCTGTGTATAACCCTAAATGCTAGTGCTGTTTTCTTTGATTTCACAGGAACACATGTCAAATACCCAGTAACTTAAATTATCCTAACAACCTGTGGCATAGTAAATGCTGGTAATGGGGCATTAAATTATAAATATGTTTCAGAGATCCTTAAAGAACAAAATACTTTAGAAAAACATCAGCTTCCATTGGTTATTATAACAGATGTTCCCTTGTGTCCTTGTGCTGGGTCTGGCTGCATCCTTAGATGGGAAGTTACATCAAAGTGTGAGCCATTACAGCCCAAGGAATAGTTTCTAATGGTTTCACTGTCATATAAGTGCTCCAGGGCATATCCAGTTAATGTGTAAGCATGCTTATCAAAATACTGCCGGTGAGAGCCAAAGCAGTTTGGAGAGACGGCAGGATGGTCTCCTGCTGTCTGATGAGGAGACATATCCGAATGTAGATAGTCTTTAGCTAGGATCAAACTGGATTTTGAAATGCGATCCGAATTGGGACTACTTATCCGAGACAGTGCGGTGGGACTGTTGTCATAGTCATTTTCGTGGGGGCTCAGCATCTTTCCCTCTCTCTGCTGGATGTGGTCACATGGTGAAGTGTTGGCAAGAGCAGAGCCGTGGCAGACTTCGCCTGTCGGTGGGGGCTGTTGGTAGTTTGCAAAACAGAGGGAGTGTTTTTTCCCAGCTCCATTAATGGAAGCCAATTGGTCTGGGTGGGCTTTCCTTAGCTGCAATCTGTTCTCTTCTTCTTTAATCATTTGCTGGGTGGCTCTGATCAGAGTTTCAATTTTGCTAGGTTCATGCGGGCTACTTTGATACTGCTCAGTGCGGTATCGGTCACCTGATTCGCTGGCAGACCCCGGGTCTGGAGAACTGACCACACTATCTTCATCCCAATGACCTCGCCCTAGAAATTAGAAAAAGTAAAAAGTAAGTGGTCTCAAAACTCACCCCCCAAAATGCAAGTGTATTTCTTTTTAAAAGGAACTTATATCTTTCATTTTTAATATATGCACCAATATTTGAAACAGACACAGGCTCACATGACAGACAGTGTCAAAGTACTCTACTGGAATTCATAGTTCTTGGGTGGCCTTTAAGTGCAGATGAAGTTTATAACAAGTTTTTTAGAAGGTTGCTCGTGGGTCATGAATGCCAATTAGCGAAAGTGTGTTTATACTTCTCCACATATGCACATCATTGGACCTGTCTGGCTGTAATTAAAAGGAAAATGCATAGCATTTGGTTTATGTTATGTTCTAGAGAAGTGTTATGTTAAATCGATGCTTAGAAAATGGTTTCAATTGGGTTTGAGAAAGATAATATAGGCTGGACTATTTTCTCAAATACAAATAAATCACCTAAAATGCTAATATTGTTAAATGTATCTTAAGTAGAGTTACAATAAAGCTCTAATGTTAGTTTTTAAACTATTTGAGGATTAAAAAATATATATATATTCAATACGTGTATATGTGTGCGTGGATATATATACGTCTTGTCCGAATCAAAAATATAAATATTGTCTTCTCAAATCTAGTGGCAAAAATCTGTTTCACATATAACCATATAGTGACTCCGGTATCTTAGATTATTTCTGAAATAAGGTGAAAAGTAAATATTTAAAATGTTAATAACAACCTGTTCTGAACCAGAGAGAGAGATCTAACATGGAGAAATAGTGCATCCAAAATATATTCCATAAACTATTCTCAAAACAGTCTGAAGTCAATATAAAAAGAGAGAAGAGAAACAGGAAGGGACACGCGAAAGCTGTAAACTGTTTAATGCAGCAGAGAAGCCCTGCATCACGCTACTCATCGCTTTCCTTTTCCCTTCTCTTCTTATTTTATTTCTCACATTTTCTTCCCTACCATGTAGGTTAAGCCAGGATTTTCACTTCACTCTATTCTTTGGCAGGCAATTGCCCTTTGCCCTGCGTTTCCATTACCAGTCTACCAAACCAGAGAAACTCAGAGGAAAAGAGGAAAAATAAAAAGCAAAATCAGAGAGAAATTAAAATCATTCATAGAAGGCAGTCAATGCCTGGGTGGTACCTGACAGGAGACTTAATGGGCAAGGACAACATGGTCTACACATTTCTCATCCCAAAGACACAGCCAGAAGAGTAACATCGGGGCCGCTGGATCAATCTTAATGTCACTGACTTTTAATGAAATAAGGAGGGTTTCAAAGACCTGCCTGGACCCACGAATTCGGTCACGAATGGACAGAATTGGCTCTCCCTGCCCAGTTAACTTTGAAATGAACAAAGAAGAGCTTTGCTAACACTGAAGGCTTTCACTGCAGAGTGCATTTCTGTGTGTTTGTAAAGCCACGTAGTAATCCCCAGGTGAACATCTCCATGGGTTGGTTCTAGAAATCACTCCATCCTTTACTCACAGGGTACATGGTGGGTTGTCATAAAGATGGAGGAAGGGGGAAGTTACTGGCATTTAATGCCCAGAGGGCCAGAGAGGTTAAACATCCTGCAATGTGAGTGATGGGCCGTAAAACAAAGACTGGCCTTCCCTAACATGGCAAGAGTGGCCTCATCGAGAAATACACTGAACTAGCCCAAAACTATTTAAGTCCACATTTGCAGCATGAGAATACAGAAGAAAATAATACACAAGAAATTTAAATGGGTACACACTACAAGTTCAATAGACTTATTCAACAATTCACTTTAACTTAATTTCTATGCTTTTTTTGATGTTTAAAATGGGAATCATTTTCACGGGCCTGTAAAAATAAATGCATTTGGCAAACATTAGCAAAATTAAGACACTTGAAATAGAGTGGACTTGGCTTTCAAAATCCCATTGGTGTGAGTTTCTGATTTGTAAATTCAAAAGAGAAAACCGTTGGGTCGGTCACTCCCGTGTCATACCTAGAATATTACAAACCTGCCCAGGGGCCTAATGCAGCGAGCTCGGGAGTCACTTCAACCGCCCTTACCGTGGAGCCTGTGGAGCGAAGCGATGTGAGGCATGCTGTTTTCGTAGGCTTCTCTGCTTTCTGGGGAGGCCTTGGTCAGGGGCAAGGCTGCGCGAGAGCCCCACCAGGGCTCCCTCCCGGCCTGCGGCGTTCCCAGGAAGTACCTGCCGGCCTCACAGCGGCCCCCCTCGCAGGCCTGCGTGTGGAAATGCCTCTCCTCCACCAGCCTGGAATGGTCGAGCGCGAAGCCGTAGCAGAGAGAGCTGCGCTCGGAGAACTGCCTGTAGGCGCACGCGGCGTCGTGCTGGGAGCCCGGCCTGTCCGCGGGGTCCAGGAGCTGCGGGGAGGCGGCGTCCGTCAGGGGGCTTCCGCCCCACTGGCTGTCGTGATCAGATTCCGATCTTTCCGTGTGAAATCCCGAATACTGAAACCGAGAGGGTGAGAAAAGCGCATTTCAAAAAAAAAAAGAAAGAAAAAAAAGAACCTTTTTACTCTGCAAGCACCCCTAAGGTCATACTGGGCTTAAGGCACCAAAATAAGACTCATCTCGCACCACGCTGGGCACCCCTGACACAGAATTGCTTAATTAGTCATGGTGCCTCCCAAGAAAATCCTTTAGGCTGCTGAAGGGAAGAGATGAAAATAACAACAAACACGGACTGAACTAAATACCAAGCACTGTTTGAAGTACTCCATGTGAATTACCCCAAGTAGTTCTTATATTAACCCTTTAATGGAGATATTAGTAACCCATTGTATGGAGAGGAAAGCTGAGGCCCAAAGGAGGATGTGATTTGCCCAAGGCCACAAGGTCAGCGGCTGACAGAGCCAGGACTCAAAACCAAGTTCTCCATCACTACCCAAATGGTATCTCCAAAGGGAGAGTCCAAGAAAGCTCCATATTTTATTTCTATTCGCTTTTCACATTTTTTCTTAATTAAAAAAACACAACAAAAATAAGGTTGAAAGCCCCAGTGTGCTGCAACTCAACTCTTCACACTGGGCTGTTAACTCTGAGAGCCAGGCTGGATACATGGCAAGATAGTTAACAAATGCTTAGCTAATTCAATTGCAGTAAAACTTGGAAAAAGTCTTGCCCCATATAAGCTAGTTCTATTCACTGGGATGTGTCTCCTGCTTTCTAAAGCAACACTTCATATGTGCATAGGCTCATTGGTATGGAACAGCTGCCGGCCATGCTGTGCCTTGTTGGATCTGTGGCCGGAGTATTTGGTCAGGAGTTGAAAGAAAAGGTAAAAGGCTGGGCAGACCTCCCTAGGTGTGCTTGTTGGAATGTCCTCATGAGCCACTAAAATCAGTAACATTATCATTCCTACCAGTTTTTGGTTACCTAATGCCAAACACAAGTCTAGATACCATATAGAGATCATCTGCTATGATAATAATAGATGCCATTTTTTGAGAACCTACTATGTGTCTAGCAATGTGCTAATCACCATATATTATATCACTGACTCCTCATAACCACCTGGACAGTAACATATCTCCCTTCTACAGATGAGGAAACTGAATCCCTGAGAGTTTTAATAAGATGCCATAGTCACCCCACAGTCTATCTGGTCTCAAAGCCTACACCCTGAGCCATGAGTTTATACTTGACAGAAAACACTGTTAAGGAAGAGAGAAGGGAAAAAAGGATCCAATGTTAGAGAGATTTCCAGAAAAGTGGCAAGAACTGCTTTACAGTCTCAAGAACCAAAATGTAAGTCCATTTTACATTTTCTTTCTTACGCCAGAAAAATGAGGGATGGGTGTGTGTGGTAGTGTTGGGGGGAGAGGAGAAAGTCCTAGGCTCCGCTGTTCTCCACTTGTCACATGCTGGTTAAGCAAATTTTACCCAAGATGAGACCTTCACAGGACAAGGCAAACTCTCCTCTTCACACTAGGCTCACCCTGAGCAGGAGGAATAATCTCAACTCTTCCCAACTCAGTGCACACAGCAGCTCGGCGTAGGGTCTCAGAGCCAGGGAGATGAGGTACAGAGGTTCCTCTGGGGGAACTCCAAAGTATGCTAATAAACACAGTATGCTCAGGCCAGAGTTCTATGGAAATTCCAGGTTCAAGATTTTTCCATTACCATTTCTAACATTACTTTAATTATTTTCCAAATGTACATATGGACTATCAGCATACTCCATCAAGAAAAACATGGAAAATGCTACTTCTTTCCCTGCAGGACTGTAGGATGTGGGACATCAAGGCATCCTGAGCTCCATTTCTCTACGTCACACCGCCATATGTCTGTGAACAGCAGCCTCTCTTCTCACCAGACACCACCTTCACTTCACCAAACGATGGTTGGCGCCCCCTCTCCTGACTGAATGGGGATCAGAGTGCTATACGTTTGCCCTTTGGTAACACTCTCCACGTGTTTGCCTAGGAAAAAGTCAGATCATCAGTGCTATTCCCAGTTAGGAATTGCCCAGACTCTGCTTGTTTTTATAAAAGTATAAACCAGGCCTATTTCTGAAGTACTCCAGTCAAGACTTTTGAGCCCTGTTGAGAGGGGAAAAAGCTCTCCCTGAGTGTCTATGGGAAAGTGCTATTGGCACAGCAGACAAGAACATTCTGTCCTTTGCTCACAAAGAAAATTCAACACAAAGCAACCCTGGCATATACGAGGTACGCATTTCAACAGCACCCAAAGAAGAATTTGTCAGATAAGCCTCTTGTCAAGAATCAGGAAACTACAGCAGCAAGGACACTGCCCCTCGAGCAGGCAGAAGTTGGGTGGTTCAGTTAGACCAAGACCTCACACTGCTTTAGCGGGACAGAGGAAAAGCTTAGCCGTAAACCTTTGTTTTTAAGGAGAAGATCTGTAAACTGGCACCTGTGTGCACCGTCAAGGGGTGCCACATTCACCCCTTTAAAATGAACTGCACTCTGTTGAGAACACTACAACCCCGTAATTTGAACTGAAATATTTCAGGTGTTCATTAAGTATTTGAAGAAAGAGAGAGGGCAGAGGCGAGGAAGGCAGCCAGCCAACAAATGCAGCGCGTGCAGCACAACGAATGAACAAATGCTGCAGAAGAAGATCCTGGTCTTCCTCACATCTACTTTTGCTGCTTACTACATCTTGGGCAAGTGATTTAATTTCTTTTGTCCCAACAGGAAAAGGGTCATGATGATACTTAACCTACCAAAGGCTGAACCAGAGTTGGGGCCATTTAGTGAAGAGGCACTAGGGCCAGGGAGCCAAGAGAACTTGGTTCCAGGTCCATCCTTGCTACTAACTCTCAGGGTAACCTTGGGAAAATTACTTTATCTTTCTCCGCCTCAGCTATAGAATCTGTAGAATGACATATTGGGTTAGATTACACTTTCTCTAACTTTTGTCCCAGCTCTAATATTCTATATGATACAAGAATTATTTGGTATCCTTTCTAGTGTTGAAATAAATGATTCCTATCCCTGTCCCTATATTTCACTTATTTAAAGAAGATAATTATTTAGAATTATAATCCAAGTCCAAGAATTTTTATTGTCATGGTTATGAGAAGAAAGTTATTGTGTAAGTTATAGTTTTACTACAATGTCAATTTTTCCCCAAGTATGCCATTATGACTCAAGTTTTATAGAGACTACCATGCCTTTTGGTCAATAAATTATTCCATTCTAGAGGCTTCTGAGTATTAAGGATAATGGCAGCCACTTGAATCTGCATTTCTCCGCACATCCTCCTCCCAGACCCTATAAGGTCATCAAGGAGCACAAATTAAATCACATGTGACCCATGCTGTCAGCATTACTAGAAGGCAGAGAATATGCCAAACTCCAAAGTATTTATAAGTAAAAAAATAGAAAGTCCAACAGCAGCTGCTATGAGCCTGTGGGTGCAGAGAGAAGGGGAAGGGGAAGTTTAAGAGACTCCATGGAAAAAAAAAGAGAGAGAAAGGAGCTTAGGACATTGGCAAAATGCACAAAATCATCCTCAGAAAGAAAAAGCACAAGTAAGTGCCCAAATAGGAACACGAGCCAGTATCTGGTGGTTCACACACTGGCCACAGGAAACGGACTGAAAATCAAGCAAAATCCAAAGTGGTGGCCTCCCACAAGTGTCATTTCCACAAAAGAAGGAAGTAAATTGAGAACGGGCTGTGTCCCTCAGACACACAGCAGTGACAGGAGAGAAGGTAGAGGGGGAACTTAGGACCCATGAGACACGAAAGAAAAATACCAGATAGGAGAATTCTACCTTTCCTCCTGCCCCTCTTCAGTACCATCATCATCATCCACTTAAAAAACTGTGTTTTACAAAACTGACAGGAAAGGGTGCTCTTTACATAGTAACCCAGCCCACGAAATGCCAAAGACTAGGGAAAAAATTCAACTCCCTATAAAACTCCTGTAGGGAAAAAAACATGAAAATGGAAATACGAACATCCCAGCTGATAAAAATTCTCACCAAACAACCAACCATGAAACAAAACAAAATTGTAAGACAACATTCCAAATTGAACTAGATACTCTCAACAAACATTTGGAGACACACACACATCCACACCCACACACGGGCACACACACCTGGAATCAGAAATTTTAAAACTAAGAAATGGACCAAAAACAACAACAGAACAGGAAAAAATGCAATAAAAACTGACCAAACTCAAAGAAATTGAATAAAGAATAAATTACAATTGTAAAAAGGAGAATAGATTTGAATAAAGGAAATTGAAGAAAGGATGGAAAACATGTAAGGAAACAAAAATTGGATAGAAAAATAAAAGGATCAGAGAAAATGGTTGAAAGAAGATAGAAAAATTTCAATATACACCTAACATTTATATCGGAGTCAAAGGAACTAGAATTGCTAAACAATTTGAAAAAGAAGAAAAAAGTGAGAGAATCTGTCTACCCAACTTCAAGACCTATCATACAGCTACAGTAATCATAACTGTGTGGTATTGACAGAGAAAAATATGCACAGACCAATAGAACAGAATAGAGAACCCAGAAATAGACCACAAAAATGTGCCCAACTGATTTTTGACAAAAGTGCAAAAGCAATTCAATAAAGGAAAGACAGACTTCTCAACAAATGGTGCTGGAGTAACTGGACATCCATAGGCAAAAATAAAATGAACCTCAACCTAAGTCTCACACTTTATATAAAAATTAACTCAAGTGGACCAGAGACTTGAACGTAAATGGTAAAATTACAAAATTTTTAGAAAATAATATAGAAGAAAATCTTCAAGATCTGGGCTAGGTAAAGAGTTCTTAGACTTGACATCAGAGGTACAATGCATAAAAGAAAAATCTGATAAACTGGACTTGATAGAAATTAAAAATTGTGCTTTGCAAAAGACTCTGTTAAAAGGATGACAAGACAAGCTACAGACAGGGAGAAAACATTTGCAAACCACATATGCAACAAAGGACTAGAATCTAGAATATATA